CCCCAAAACCCCAAAACCCCAAAACCCCAAAACCCCGTAAGGATATCTTTGAAGTATCTTTTAAAGATTACAAAAAGAAGATTTAAATTATGATTCAATAATCTTTAGATAATTTAATATTTACAATATCAAAACCTTATATTTTCAATATTTCAAGAAAATGCGCTTTCAGAAATAGACGTTCGGCTCTTTGGAAGAGGAGACATCTACAAGTCCAACATACCCAGACTAAATTTAGACAGGTGTGAACAATTAAAATTACAATCATAGCTCAAGTCAAAAACCAAAAATAAGCATTCTTAAAGAGTCTTTAAGCACTGACAAGGAAAACTTCAGGTATGAGGAAACCTGCCAAAGATTCATAGAAGATCATTCATATGACTTAGACTAGTTATCAAAGGTTAAATATTCACCTTTTGATAAAGAGAAAAATAGTTTAAGGCTGAATTAAACTCAAAGAATTTCAGACTTATCATAAAACTTAAGGGATTCTATGCTTTTTGATTAGTAAATAGATCTCTAGCCAGGCCAACTCTATAAGACTTAAATCTTTAGGAAAAATGAACTTAAAGGGAAATTTATGGGGTATCACAGAAAAAGTAAACCTATGAAATAGCAATCATTAACAATAGACTAAACTGCTGATTGCATCAATAATTATAATCATGATTTTGTTGACTCTGCAATTAAGCAAGAGCATAGTTTTTTGAGTAAGCCTATTCCTGTTTCATACTATTTAAACCCTGAATCAATCAATCCCACTCCAATGAAAAAATCAACTGTCAATGATAATAAATCAATAGGAGAGTATGGGAATCCTTTAATTACACCTTGCTTTTTTCAAAATGATTCACCGATCAATAACTTCGAACCCACACCTTGCCAAAGTAATTTTGAAGATGATGATGAATAGGACGAATTTTATCATACTAACGGAGTTGGAGAAGATGATGATCAAGAGTAAGAATTTCAAGACTCTCCAAATGAGTTAAATTCTCAGGATTTGTAAGAAGGCAATGATAGATTATTTGCTTTTGAACAATAGCACAAAAATTCAAAAAGTAGATTTCTTGAGAATTCACCCATCAAAAATCTTGATGAAGATATGCCATCATTTCAGGAACTAATTAGTCATGCTCTAAATTATTTCAGAGATAGTAAATAAATTGTTAGAGATATTCAGCCCTTCAAGTAAGTTCATAAAAAATATCATGATATTTAAGCCTAATATGAGTTGTTGCAATAACATTCCCAAGTTGAGCAAAAAGCCTTAGAACTAAGATGCGCTAATTTAGAAGAATAATTTATCTCAAAAGATCTAGAGATAATATAACTACAGGAAGATATAAGTTACAATTAGAATGTTAACTAAGCATTACAAGAGAAACTAGAAATCCTAGAGAGCAAGATCAAGGATCAGGAAGGTTAGATCAGAGAGCTTCTTTAAAATTAGTATAAAATGGGTTCTATCTATGAGAAGACGAAGGATAGAAAATAAAAGAATCAAAAGTTAGTCTTCGATATCTTTGAAATGTAACCAAATTGAATTTTAAATATAAATATAGGATTAAAGATGAAAGATAATCTGAATAAGATGATAGAGAAGTTAAGACAATAATGGATGGCTCACAATCTTACAGGGAAATCTATCACAGGCCATAGTTTGATCTAAGGACTTAGTATGATAACTTTTAAATTATGAAAAATAACTAATGTAAGCCAACAAAAGATATTGAATATGCTATAGATAACTGTTACACCTAGTAAAACTCCCCTAGAACTAGTATGAATGATTCTAAAATGATAAGGAGCTCTAATCAATTTAGAGACTCAAAAAACAATTATAACTTGTAGCTTGGCTCTAAACATCATAGAGTTTAATCCTTCAAACAGCAGTGAGAATTTAATGCCTAATTATGATTATTATTTTAAGAAATAAGGTAATTATTATTTCAATAACTACTCTTAATTTGATCTGCAGATTTTGGGGTTTTGGGGTTTTGGGG